GAAGGAATACGCCTGCGAGAAAGAACGCGCGCGCGTGGTGCGGGGGGTCAGCATGATGGCCTTCCCGCGCGGCGTTTGGTCGGAGCGGGCTCGGAGCGGGGCGCCGGGCGGCAACGCAGAGGTTTCGCAAGAATTGAGTCGCGTGGCAGGCGCGCCACAATCACGGGCCACCCTATACAAGCCCAGATTTAGTGGCAGGCGCAGCACTTTTCGCAAGGTCAAGTACAGATTTCGTGGCAGGCTCAGCAGCTTCGCAAGGTCAAGTGCAAAGCCTTGGCAGGCTCAGCACTTCGCAACAAGTGCAGAGTCTTGACAAGGGCAACATATTTCGCAAGGTCAAGTACAGATTGCGTGGCAGCTTGGTGAAGTGCAGATTTGTGGCAGGTGCAGCTTTTTCGCAAGGTCAAGCACAGGTTTCTGGGCAGGGGCAGCACTTTCGCAAGTGCAGGTACAGATGGAGATGTAGACAGATAGAGAAACAGATAGATAGATGCTGTGCGTGGCACTGACACTTGTTGTCAACCGCGCGAGCCAAAGTTGCACGGAAAGGAGAGAGCTCACGGACGACCTTCCACGGCCTCAGCTTCCCAAGAGCCTGCGCCAGCTCTACGCAAGATCAGCCGCGTATAAAGGAAGAACGTTGCATGCACATGTGCAGTTTGTGTAGCATTGGACGTTGCCTGGCGCGTGTGCTCAAGCAAGGGGAAGCGAGCTCTCCAAACCACGAGTTTGTGCAAAAAACAGCCAAAACACTACAAAAAACAGGGTGTAAACGCGCCCACTGCGCTGAATGGGTGACAGAAGCTCCTCCTGAAGAAATGTCAGCGGGTCTGTTTCTGGCAGAGACGCGCCCGGGCGCGCGTGGTTGGCCGCCATAAAGCGAAAAGGATGGCGCATCTTTGGCACGCGCCTTTGCTTCTGCCACGCAGTTGCGGCAGATCGCTTTACCACGCTCCAGCCATTCCGTCTCTGGAGCAAGCAGAAAGTTACTCTTCTTGAACTTCGAATTTACCCGGCGTGTCATCCCGCGCGCTTTTCGCGCCGACCCAGCCTTCCTTGCAGCGCTCGCACTCGGCAAACTCCTGCTCCGGCGGAAACTCATCCACTTCTTGCACGCGGTGAATGAAAGTGCGTGCGCGCCTCTGCGTCCGCGCTGTGTCAATGCTGAAACGCATTCAATGTGAATGCTTACTAAGCCGCAGCATGAGTGCAGGAGACAGAGATTGCATGTGTTAGGCGCGTGCTCAGACGTGGTTCGCAAGGAGCGGGACATGGACGCCGACGATGCTGGATGCTTCCGTGTAGCAGATGCTTGGAAGACGACGACGGCTTCTTCATTTTTTATTGCTGCCGCAAGTCGCTTCATGTGCTTGGGCGAGCAGGCGCAGGACCTAGACCGCTTCGGAGGCTTCTGAGATTGTGTCGACGAGCGTAGACGAGGACCATGAAACGGTGCGAGTCCGGGCTCATGGTGTTGAAGGTGCCATTCCGGCCCTTGCTTCTTTTCTGCCTTCTTGCCTTCCCCCGCTTCTTTCCTGTCTTCTTTGGTTCTTCTTGGCAACTTGAGTTTCTTGTTCCCTCCCATTTCTACCTGTCGTCTTGCCTTCAAGCTTTCCACCATTCGGCTTGTTTGCTTGTTTCTGTACCCTGCTGCCTTTCATCCTGTTTTGATGTTGCCCGCACCATCCCACGCCCGTTCTGGGCAATGACTGCTAGGTAGGGAATTGCAAGCGTGCGCGCAGGTCGCTGCCATGGCCGGATGAATCCGACAGCCTCAGGAATAAAACGTTGTGCGCTCTTGCGCAGGGTGGCAGCGCGAACGACGGCTTCGGCGCGGCGCGAGCGACATCGTGCGCAACAAGCCCGTTACCGCAGTCAGGTTTATGTGTGACATATGTCTGGAGCAAGGCAGCCGCGCCGCAGGCAAGTTGGCAGCGCAAACAGCGCCACGACACGCCTTCCCCCTCGCAGGCGCCATAGTTTGAAAGGGCATCGTTGTTCCCGCGGTCAGCGTGACAACGAAGCCGTTCGTCGACACTCTACAGCGCGTACGCTGAGCGCACGGCGTCGCCAAATGAAGCATGATCTGCGCGCACGACTCATATCGCACACATTCCCGAGCACTGGTACACACATGAGAGCGTTCGTATACAAACAACAACTTCACGAGGACATTGCTCTCGTTTGTTGCGCAGTTGTCCTTTGCGCAACTTTGGCTTCTCTCAGTGGCGCGCTGACTGCCACTGGAATTTGCAGCAGTTTGCTGACACAGAAGCTGGCGCGGAGCCGACGGGCTTGCAGGTGACTGTGACAGAGCAGCAGCTGTTTGCCACGTGGAGTTCCACGTCGCTGGAGCTGCAGCTCGCAGCCGTGGTGGGGGACACCCATGAGCCTTCGAATGTCTGGGATCAGATTGAACGGCAGGCGTGCACGTTTTCCAATTGTGGTAGGCAATCATCGTGCACGCAAGCGTCAAGCACGTGTGGATAAAACGCCAGTAATGTTCGAGTATGTGTGTTCGGTCAGTTGTGTGTTTCAAGAACTAGGTGTACCACATGTCGGGCTTGCTGAGGAGTGGCTAGATCTAAGTACGGATGCAGGGAGTTGGGTGCTCAGCTGAAGTTGCGAGAAGCCCAACATGTGGGCTGCAATCCCACGCGCGTCAGGATCACCGTGGCAACGCCCTGACAAGGCAAAGTTAGGAAGTCAGTTCAAGAACAAGCTGAAAGCCAAGATCAAAGCGCCCAAAGCATTGTTCTCCAGATTCAGACGACATGCTGAGACCGCCGTCCTTTTTCAGGGGGGTACAGTGTCCTTTCAATGCTCAGGAAGCCGATGAACCAGAGTTGAACGCTGCCATGGGCACGTTGTCGTCGCGTAGTCATGATTATCATCATTGCTGCTTCAGATGCTGGGGATGCGTCGTGATGATGATTCTCATCATGATCATCGCTGCTGGGGATGCTGCGCGTAGTCACGGTTATCATCTTCCCTGCTGGAGACGCTGAAGATGTGTAGCGGGCTATCTTCAAGGCAATCACGAGCATGGTTGTCATGAGCATGATTGTCATGATCCTTGTCATGACTCGTCTTTTCAAGTCTTTTCTATTTACATTGCAAGTGTGTCGTTAGGCCCGGCTTGACATGCAAGCAATGCGTAGTCATGATTATCATCATCACTGCTAGAGATGCTGGGGATGCGTAGTGATGATTCTCATCATCCCTGCTGAAGATGCTGGGCGCGCGTAGTGATGGCTATCACCAAGGCGATCGCAAGCATCATCCTCATGACCCTCGTCACGACTCGTTATTTCAAGTTCAAGTCTTTTTGGTTTACATTTCAATTGTGCCGCGAGACACGGCTTGACATGCAGGCGATGCGTGATCATCATCATCATGACCATCGCTGCTGGAGATGCTGGGAATGCGTAGTCATGATTATAGTGAGTAGCGATGACCATCAGCATCATGATCAGCGCTGCTGGAGATGCTCGGGATGCGTAGTGATGATTATCATCATCCCTGCTGGAGATGCTGGGGATGCGCAGTGATGGTTATCATCATCCCTGCTAGAAATGCTGGGCATGCGTAGAAGGAATGATGATAATCATCACTACGCATCCCCAGCATCCCTGTCAGCGATGTTGATAATTGTCGCTGCGCATCCCCAGCATCCCCAGCAGTGATAGTCATGATGATGACAATCATCACGACGCATCCCCAGCATCTCCAGCAGCGATGATCATGATGATGACACTCATCGCTACGCATCCCCAGAATCTCCAGCAGAGAATCATGGCTACGCATCGCTTGCGCCGGTCTAACGGGACACTTGAAATGTGTATAGAAAAGACTTCAACAGACGAGTCATGACGAGGATCATGAGGATGACGCGTGCCCAGCATCTTCAGCAGGGATGATGAGAATCATCACTACGCATCCCCAGCATCTCCAGCAGCGATGATGATAATCATGACTACGCATTGCTTGCATGTCAAGCTGGGTCTCACGGAGCAGAAATGTATATAGAAAAGACTCGCAAAGACGAGTCATGACGCGGATCATGAGGATGCTCGGTATCGCCTAGATGATAACCATCTTTATGCACCCCTGGCGTTTAAAGCAGGGATGGTGATAATCATAACTACTCTACGCATCCCCTGCGGCGACGATGATAATCATGACTACGCTTCGCTTGCGTGTCAAGCCATCGCCCTTCCCGTGGGGTATGAGGGCTTTGGTGTGGCCACTTGTGTGGACTTTGTGTGTGGGAGGGGGTCGTTTCCTGGGGCGGATTGGAAGGCCGAGCCCGTGTCACTTCCAGCAGTGATTTGCTTTGACGAAGGCATTCGCGCCCATTGTGACTGACACTGACAAGCGTCTTCAATTACGGGTGCCGAAAAAACGGAAAACAGTCAATTGGGGGCACAGGGCCTGAGTGCCCAAGCGGGGCCAGGAAGTTTACTTGAAACTCAACAGGCTCTTGACGGTGCAGTAGCCCATGGCCTTGGTTTCAGCTTCTGGTTTCGGCCACGGGCGCCTCAGTCCATTCCATTCCTTTGCCCAGGTGCCTCGTTCTTTTGTTTGGCGGACACACTGTGTGTTCAAATGCCGCACAGGGCATTTGATCGGCTGTGTGGGACTTTGATAGGCTTGCAATCGCAACAATCATGCTTTCAGGGCTGTGTTTGCAGGGGAGCCAAGCGAAACGCCGATTTGCTCCAAATTCTTGTCAAGGAGGGAGGTTACTCACTTGGCACCAGACACTTGGATTGAATCGAGAAATGGAATTGCAACTGCTTTCAGGATCCAGCGCCCTGATTACGATACTGATGTCACGTGTTTGGAGTTGTTTATGGGTTACGTATGGCGAATTGGCCCGCTGGCCACTTCCCAGCGATTGTTTCAAGGAGCTTCAAGCCGAGGTTGTTTCCGAAAAGTGTAGGTCAGAGGCATGCCAAACCATTCCCAACACAGGACAACGGACCTGCTCCTCGCAGGTGACCCTGGCTTTGGAACATCTCCATTGCAGGGGCATCGTGTTCCGTGATCTCAAGCCCGGAGGCCTAATGTTGCACCTGGTTTAACATCGGTAGTCTCAATTGTGTCAAGTTTCCCCGGCTTAAACACGACCCCCCAACTGCTTCGATACCATGATTTATGTCAAGTTCGAACCCAAAAATCCATCAAACAACAAGCCCCAAACAGTCCTGCAAAGGGGGTTGCCCACAAAAAATGTTAATTCGCTTTAAGGGGCACTGTTTGGGTACCATGTTTAATGTCCAGTCTTAGGCGTGGGTGGGTATCTTAGCCTCTTGCTTTTAAAAGGGGCTCCAAATCTAAAAGCTTAGCAAGGGACAGGCCAAAACCTGTGAGCCTAAGAATTCCTGATTTGATCCCAAGCCCCAACCATCAGAATTCTTTACTTAATTCCATCCAAAAACAAGCCCCAAACAGTCCTGCAAAGGGGGTGTTGCCTCTTTAAGGGATGTTTGGTACCATGTTTAATGTCCCCTTAGGGTGTGCTGGCAACACAAAACCAAGTAGTGGCAGCCCAAAAGGAAGTGCTGGCAATACTAAACGAATTAGTGGCAACCCAACAGGAAGTGCTGGCGATACTAATCCAAGTAATGGCAATCCAAAAGGAAGTGCTGGCAATACTAAACTAAGTAGTAGCAATACCAAAGCAATACTCAAGTCACCCAAGCCCCCCGCCAAATCCGTATTCAGGATCCCAAGGACTGCTTTGATTGTTCCAGGGGGGGGCGCAGTAAACAAAGCCCAACATTACAATGTGATCTTGCAGATATGGAAAGGAGTTGCGCTAAGCCTTACTTAATATCATACGCGAGACGTGGACCCTGCAAATGGCACGCTGGTACTTTGGGGTTGGACACAGAGCACGCTTGAGTACGATCGCCGTCCAGTTAATCCAAAGTTGGCATCAGCGATAATGATAATAGTTGCACCAACCAAGAAACAAGGGGGGCCGCCGAGGAGAAAGATCCAACCACCGCGGGGGGTTGTTTCTTGATGCTACTTGTTGCATTGCGCCCAGAGGCAAAAACAAGCCACGCACAAAACAACAGACTGACCCATGGAGGGCGCGAATGAAATACATTGTCACTTCACTTCCCACATCAGCTTTGTGCGCCACTAGTTTGCGTGGGCGCGAAGGGCTTCCACCCCCCACAGTCCGTCGTCCATGGCAGGTTCAGTACTCCACAGCTCAAATCTCTTATAGTCTACCAAAAATTCCTAACATATGCTTGGAATGCAAGAAGGCATGGGGCAGACGAATGCCCTACACCAGACCGCATGAAAACAGGTTCTCTGATGAACAACCACAGGTTTCACTGAACCGAAGTACCCAATTTGGCGCTAGCTAAACTCTCCGTGTTAGCCAATAGCAAGCTAGCAGCCTCATGGCACAGCTGCGCGTTGGCCTAACCTGCGTCAAAGTTAGCTGTGTGTCAAAGCCATTGGAGAGTGTGACGCACCAGGCAAGCCAAGAGAATACTGCTTGAACGCATAGCGTTTGTTTCTCAAGCCCCTTGTTGTCACATGTGTTGGTCCAGAAAAGGTGAAAGCAAAGCCGCGATCCATGTCGTTTTGAGCAACCGCTTCCAATCTTGCGTCACCAGCACCAGCGGCTTGTCCCTGTGGCGCTGTTCATGCAAATGCTTGAGCAGCCAAGAAGGAGCATAAATCCAAGCAATTGGGTCAGTAAGCAGCAACAGGACACCCTAGGACTTTGCAAGTACGGGCCCGCCTGCCAGGAACAGAAAGTAAAGGTGCGCAACAGCCTGAACTACCAATGATCCTGGGAAAAGAAACAAAGAGGTTCGTTTTTTTTCCGCTCTGCGCCCGGTCGGGGGGTCGCTTGTGACCTGTTTTTTTTGTCGATTGTGATGTGTGTTTTTGGTCGCTTGTGACCTGCCGTAGATTCACGCTTTTGATGCACGCGCCGGCGCACCCTGGCACCCAGGCACCCAGACACCCACGCGCTCGCGGACCCAGCCACCTGCGCACCCACATACCTACCGACGCGCCCACGCACACACGGCGTCCACGAACTCACGCATGCTCGCAAGATTGCTGCGCACCTGCGCGCACTCCTACCACACCCGCGCCCGCCCGTGTTGCGGGGCTCGGCGGGTGTGCCCCGCCCCACCCCGCCCCAAACGCTCCCCCCCCCCAACCCATGTGTTGCACGTGAGTGAGCGTGCTTATTAGGTGGTAGCACGCGTGAGCGGGTGTGCCCCACCCCAACGAGTGGGTGTGCTTATTAGGTGGCAGGCGTGTGCGCAGTGCTGGGCGGGTGCACGTGAGCGGGTGTGGTAGGCGTGGATGCAGTGCTGGCGTGAGCGGGTGTGCCCCACCCCGCCCCACCCCACCCCCGCCCCACCCCCCCGCAATACCCCACCCAACTGTTGCGCGTGAGCGGGTGCGCTTACTAGGTGACAGGTGTGTGCGGGCGCACGTGAGCGGTTGTGCTTATTAGGTGGTAGTGCTGGGCTTCTGTGGTAGGCGTGGATGCAGTGCTGGGCGGGCGCATGCCCCACCCCATGCCCCCCCGAAACCCCCACCCCCCTCGCAGTGACCCCGATTTCGGGTTGCGAGTGACTGCACGGTTGCAAGTGACCTGGGGTTGCAAGTGACCGGATGGGCGGGTCGCAAGTGACCCCACAGCCCCTGCGTCCTCATCGTGCGGACTAGACATGTAACAAGTAGTCGACTCTTATAATTGCAGCCCACAATACCAGATCCCTGTATATTGAATTCTTGGGAGAAGCGTTGCGGAGGCCATAGATGTTTGCCTTGACGGAAAGTATCTGAGAAGCAAACAGTTCGCGATATGCGAAAATTTGCAGCGCCCCCTGTGAAGTTTTGATGATTGCGACATGAAAATGGGTGCTGGGACGGGTCCGGTATGCGCTTCTGAGTGCTGTGGACCTTTGAAGTGTTTGCAAAGTGGATTCCAACCCAAAGTTGGGCAGGATGCTGCAGACCGCAAATGAGAGTGAAACGAGTCGGCGCTTGTTCACATGGAATGCCTCCCCCCGCCCCCCCGTGGCACAGGCGCGGGGTTGTTAGATTCACATGACATCCTTCTAAACATGCTCATATTTCGGCCACTTCCTAGACAGCGTACCATCCCAATCGTTCTTCATGTGATGCTGCGCAGGGAGAGCAGTTCAATTAAGGAGATGTCATAAGTCAACATCCGTCACGTACAGGCTCACAGGTCAAATAGAGAACTTGAAGGCTGCGGGGATGAGATGGAGCTGCCCAGCGCACTCTTCGTCACCTGCTATTTTGGAGACTCAAGACCAATGAGAATGAGAGGAGCTCGGCACCTTCAAGGGGCGTGGAGTTCGGCGATTGAATCCGGAGGACTGGCAGACTCGAGGATCTCTTGAAGATATTCAAAAAAAAGGCCGCCGAAGTTGCAAATTCCGGACACCTTTGCGAAGATGGATCTATGGAGCCCTTAGCCGCGCAAGCGGAATGAATCCATTCCCAAAAACACCTTCCAAACAAATGACATTAGGAAGCCTCCCAAAAAACGATGAAACCCAACAAGGAACCCTCCAAAACAATCAAACAACCAAAACAGGGGCCCCAACCACAAACCGACGAAACACATTAGGAACCTTCCAAAAAACAGCGGAACGCATTCAGGAACCCTCCGCGAAACTGATGGAACCCAAGAAGGAACTCGCCAAAACCCCAATGCGGCTAAACAAGGAACCCTCCAAAGAAGGTGCGCGAAAAGGTGGCACCGCAAACTTTCCAGCGCAGGTGTAATCGCGCACAAGGAGCGCTTTTCTACATGCGCAAGTACATGCTCTCAAAATATCGCAAGCCGCAACTCTTAAGTACGAGTGTTGTGTACGACCTCACTTTGGCAGCTCCAACTCCAAAGGCGCAACTTCCAAGTGCAAGCGTGGTAATTTGCGAAAAAAAACTTGAACGGACTCAGCAAACTTAGCGATCTAGCTGAACTCCTGACAGAGCTCTTACGGTAAGTGTCCCTAAAAAAGGCTGCGCGGCTGGGCGAGATCTGCGTCTGCGCAACTCTCAGACATGTTGTTGCGCGTTCTTCTCCCTCAATACGAACTGGAACTTGTTTGAACTTAGGGCGCTACGCGAACTTAGCCTAAGTCCTTACTTTTCACTTCCGGGAAGTTTGCAAAGCTGACTTACGGTAGAAAAATCCCAAGAGGACTAAAACACGCAACGCTACATAGTTTCGAGCCTCGAGACACTAAAGTGTCGAATTTGGCGCGGCCAGCATTTTTTTGCCTACGGAGTAGGAAGCTCTTGGGATCCCGCCGGTGGCGCTAAACGTGCTCTTTTCGGCGTGGGGCGCGTAAGATATTTGCGGAGTTCTCCGGGGTACTCAGAAACACTAGAGATCGAGCGGCGAAAAAGGTGAGCGGCAAACTGAATACAAGGGGACACTCATGTGATCGCGTCTTGGGCTGTCATTCGTCCCTCGGCCTTGAAAATTGGATTTCTTGGCAATCCCCGTATGTCGACAGGTTGACATTTGTGCGGAGTCGGATCGAAAGTTGTAGTAGTGGACACGCCTACAAGCGTGATTCCGGGAGCCGCGCGACAGTCCAGAAAATGGTTGTGAAATCGCCAGACGGGTGTGAAACCATGGCCGTGACATCCCCACAAATGGCGGTAAAATCCTGTTGAAATTTGTGTGTGCCACAAGTTGCCTCAGTCCTTCCCAACTAACTTGTAAGTGAGCTGGGGGAACTTCGGCAACTTGCGGTGCGCTAACCTCAAGCCGAACGATGTATTTTAGAAATTACGGTCTACAAACTCCCGACCACCGTGGCCGCCCTGATGAAGCAGCTCACCGGAAAGCACTTCTCAGACGCGACGCCCAAGAAACCCAACAATGAATCAGTTGGAAAAAGAACCTGGATCGGAGCGTGGGCAAGGCCAGGACAAGATGTATGAACATGACAGGTTCCACGACTGTCTCTTTTGCCCAAACAGCTGAAGCTACTTCCAGTTTTCCTGGAGAAGGTGGAGAAGTTGGTTGGCCGAGGAGTTTCGAGGCACAAGCCCGATGAGAAGGATAAGGTCGTGGAAAATGCGGACCAGGAAGAAGCGGACTGTGGAGCTATCTCGGAGGTGGACAAGATCGATCCCGCGACGCAGACTCTACGTCAACGAGGCCAGAACCTGTCAATGCGATGAATGTGCGGGATCTTCCAACCCGGCGAAGGGCGAAGCTGGATGTGAACAAGGTCATGGGGGCGGACAGGCAAAGGTGCGTCTGCAAGGGTCGTTGCGGCAATGTTCCTTCAGTCTGAGGACGTGTCCGGATTTGTTCGCTGTTCTTGCTCACAAATCGCAAGAGGTTAATTGTCAATGGAGTCACGTCCCTCCACCCAAACTAGTAAAGAAAGCTGGGGCGCCAGCTGATCAATTTGCAATTCTTGGATGTCCCAACCAACAAAAAGTGTTTTTTCAGCTGCTCCTTATTGCTTCACAAATTGCCGGCGGCAAGTTCACGTGGCTCTTCCTGGTTGGCCGATTTTGGCCGAGAACTATGTGAACTTTAGGGTTGGCGGGCGGCGAGTCATTTTTTGTGGGCGGCGCGCGCTGGCTGCTCGCGTGAACTTCCGTCAGAAAGACTCGAAACTAACCTGCGAAATTGTGAGCAATGGAAATCGCATTTTCGGTCGCCAAACAAACACCAGCCACAAGGAATTTAGTGGCAACTTTCATTGAACTTACGGAGAACTTACGGACGCCGTGAAATTCGTTTATTTTCAAATCCGCTCTATAAAAGAAGGTGGGAGCTTTTCCCGGTTGCCAGTCTATCGCAGAGCTGGCCCCAAAGTTAGCCTGGGTTGACGACATGTAGGTCGACATGAGGCAATCGTACACCGCGGGCTCTGTCTTCCCCCGCCTCGCCCCGCAGCACTTGTGGCCTTGTAGCTTCTGCCCCACCACGGCTTTGCGGTGTGCAGTTGGCATGCACATCTCTGCTTGTTCGAAACTTGCATCGAACACGATATCCTTCGTGCTCGGCTCCCGTTCTCGTCCGTGTTTACTTCTCAAAGAAGTCCACCAAGGCCGATCCCGGAGGATCGGGGGTGTCTTTGGAGGGAAGCAGCAGGCGCAGCTTTGCTGTGCTCAAAGCGGGCTTGCTTTCAGCATCCGCTTCAAGCTGCTCTCGTACTCGAATCGATGCCCTGTGGACGAGAAGCGTCTTGTCGCACTTCTTCACGGCGCATGACGCCCACCAATTCGACGTCCACACTCCTCTTGTCCGGATCTGGCAATTGCACTTGACCATGAGCTCGATCGAGCCACTGGTCCACGTGCTCTTTGTGGCCAAGGCAACGTCTGCTCAAGCTCAGGTGGAGCTCCATGTTGCGCGCGCTGGCAGGCGGTGGAGACAGCAACGTCCCTCTGATGGGTGCATCGACATGCCCGGCGGGCAGGAAGATTCACAAGCTCATGAAGAGCTCAAGATGCGCGAGCCAGCTTTTGTAGACAACCGTTGGGAAGTTTGCTTGAGACGGGGGAGCTTCCATGTCTGAATGCACCAGAGCCAATACCCATTGTTGGCTGACAAAAAGTCTTTAAAAGGGGACTGGTGCAGCCACAGCCGTCATGCGTGACCTTTTGCAGAGAGGGCTCAAGAGCCAATAGGCTTTACGGCGCGCCTTAGAGGAGGAACAACATCCTCGGCGCGCTTGAGCGCATGGTTTGATTTTTGCGGGCGGTTGTTGGCACACACGGCAGAACGCGCATAAACAGAATTTCCTTGCCCGATTGCATGCGCTGAGCCGCTGAGGTTGGAGAATGTGGTTCTGGCCAAAGATGGTGCCTGCCGATGTTTGAAAAGCTTAGTCTGAGAGCAGAGGGGCCGCCTCACGCAGATGCGTTTTGATTGATTGCGTCTTACAGTAGAAGCAGGAACCAGAGGTTCTAGCGGGGCAGGGCGGAGTAGGGATTTGGAAAGGGTTCCACCAATAAAACAGGCGAAAGTCAGCGGAGCGTTGTTTGGAACAGCCCACCCGCGTGTAACACGCCAGGCTCCGCCAAGCTAACGGATTTCGGCCTGGCAAAGCAGTACCGGGGCGGCCGGGATGCCATCGCCGAGGCGCACAACGTGATAGGTCCCTGAGCACGCTTCCTTGGGTCTTAGGGTCAGCTAAACTTCCAAGAGCTAACCAAATATTCAGAGATGCTTTCTGCCTGTCTGCGGAAAAGGCAGCTCAAGGACTTCGGAATTTGAGAAAGGTCTCTGACATGTTGGCTATCTCCAACTGGTTTGTGAAAGCTTCTCGTTTGGAGTGATCATGTTGCCCCTAAAAAATAGAATTTCCATTACTAGATATGGTGCCTGGAAGCCACACAATACTTTTACTGGAGGCCACTTCTGCCCCCGAAGGGTTCCGCTATTGTCCTCCTCCAAATCGGTCCCTTTCTGGGTATAAGTCATTTTCGGAATTGTGCTGGTTTTGAATCGGCTTCAGATCATTGCAGTGTCTGTTTAGTGTTGCTTTAGCATTGGTTACAACATGTCCTCTCATAAGATTGGAGTTGGGGTTGACAGGAAGTTTGCTCTTAATCTGCTGAAGTGCCCAAAAATTTGGACCTCACCAAAAGGAAGCCTACGTTTGGGTTTCGTGGTATTTGGGTGGGTGAAATTGCCATGACTGGCCGACGTGTTGACCGGGAAGGGGCTGATCTGGGCACTGGGCTTGCCATGTGAGGTTTTGGTTCTCGTAAAGGTTAGCGAGATGCGCAACGCAAGCTGATTTCAGAGGCCTGTGCGTTGATGTGTTGCATTATTTGGTTGTTCGAGCTTCCTCTGAGCTTGTCCACAGAATGGATTGCTGAAAGGCGCAACGGTGCGCGAAGAATGGAATACGCGTGAGTAATCCCTAATTGTCGGAGAGCTCGTTTGGAAATGATGTCCTTGTGGGGGTAACCGTGGGTATGGGTTTCAATTGCAGATCCCTTCCACCCGCCGCGCGCGAGGCTCAGTCCTATGGCGGTGCCAGGTCCTCAGTCGATCGATTTTCGACGTTCTGTCTCTTCTGGCGCTGTGTCTTCAGGTGCTCGGCGGGAGTTTTGTAAAATTGAGAACTATAGCTTGGAGCACACTTCTTATTCCTTTTTTATCTATCTCTCTCTCTCTTTTTCTTTCTTTCTCTCTCTCTCTCTCTTTCTTTCTCTCTCTCTTTCTCTCTCTCTCTCTCACTCTCTCTCTCTCTCTCTCTCTCTCTCTCTCTCTCTCTCTCTCTCTCTCTCTCTCTCTCTCTTCTCTGGAAGGCGCACCCCGCCAAAGTTGCGCGAGCAAAGCGAAGAAACCCGGCCACGCGCGAGTTGTTGAAGGGCAACCCTGCAGAAGTGCACAGTCACAAAGGACTCAACAGCCACGAGGCTTTGAAGGTGTGCCCGCCCAAAGTAAACAAAGGGTTGCACGAACAAAGTGGAACTTGTCCAAATCCTTTTGTGTGTGACGGTTGACCCGCCGAAAGTGTGCGGTTCACCGGTTCAAGGATGCGCCAATGGGTTCGTTTTGCCGAAACCATGCGCGCGGGGCGTTCTCGCGCTTTCCAGCTTCTTCACACCAAGTTGATCTACTCTTAAAGATCATGCACAGGTGCATGTATTCTTGGAAAGAGCTAACTCAGTTGAGCAGCATTTGTTCTCAGATGATGGAATTTAGCTTCGTGGGAAACTCCCAAAAGGCCCGCGAAGGCACTTGTGTGATACATTGTGTGCCGCAAAGACCCGCGAAGGCGGGTAACGTTGACACACGCGAAGCCACTTGCGGAGCCGCTTGCTCCACAAACAACTCTGGCGCGCGCGCTCATGTAATTGAATGAAGCTGAGTCTATGCGAGAGGGGGCGATGAAAGGTGGCAAGAGGGACGTTGAGCACCTGGGCTGGGGGAGATGGCTGGGCCTCAAAGGGGCGGAGCCATGGACGACCTTTGCGAAGGCGGTCTATCGTTTTTAGCCAACCTATTCCGGTCATCTTCCCATAACCTTTCGGCAGAACATCAGCACCCGCGAAGCCCGGCGAAGCCACTCCACCGCAGAGTCACAGTTTTGCCGCGAAGCCTTGTGAAGCGAACCCTTCGACGAATTCTGGCCCCGAATAGCCTCCCTCTAAAAACAATGCTCAGGTAGTTCCAGTACTACAAAAGGTTTTGTTAAGCTTCCTTTGGTCATTGACTTGCTTAATTCAATACTTCTTCGTGCGAGAGGGGCTCTGTGTTTGTGCGTGTGCGCGCAAATCATTTCTCGCTTTCAAGTCTAGACGCAGAGGAACAGCAGGCTTCCTGTCTTGTGACATCACTGTGGTGCTAGCCTCTCTAGCGTCTTGGATGTCACGAATCCGCGTATTCAGGGTACTGTGCGCTACTGGATTCTCAACATCCCAGGCTTAGTGCCGAGATTCCAATTTAGAGCATCGGTTGTGTTGCGTGCCACCTTTTGGCGTCTCACAACACACACGCAGAAACACACAGAAAGACGCACAAACAAACAAACAAACAAACAAACAAACAAACAAACAAACAAACAAACAAACAAACAAACAAACAAACAAACACACACATGCAAAGCACACACAAGACACAAATAGACACACGCACACACGCAGCCGCGTATGCAGACAGCGAGAGCGATTGAGAGGCAAAACAAACTTACCAAAACACGAAGACACAGACGCAGCCACACATTGCAGACCCAGACGCGGCACACAGACACGCCTTGCGCCCACCCACCCACACACACAGAACAGACGCACGCACACACTTCTGGTGCGCAGGCCATCTCCTGACGGGAGATATCAGCCGTCAAACTGTGTCGGCATAGAGTCGGGTTCTTCCTTCCAGGCCTACGCCAATTTCACAAAGACCTTTTGCGGCTCCTACGGGTATGCGGCGCCGGAGGTGAACCCCAGACGTCAGGCGAGTCGCGCTGTCAATCGAGAGTCCAAAAGTGAGATGTTGAAGACTTGGCAAGTTGGAATGTATGGAATATAATTGGAACATGTTGGTGGAATGAACAAATTAGAGAGCTTCAAGGGCAGGAAGGGATGATTCAAATGACCGCCAAACAATGACGTAACTCGTTGTGATGCATGACCAGAAGTTGGCTGCAACGAACAAGCTAGCGGCCGTGACTCATGAACTGTCTTTTCAATTTCTGTATTCGCAAGCGACGCGTCAGAGGACTCACAAGAGTGTGTACTGTATGTCAACATGCATAGGTACACATATTGATATGAACGCTGCGTAACATTGACGAACCCCGGCGACCTACGCTGCACGCCGCGTCTACCCTGAGTATATCAGGCCCCGCAACACTCTCGGGCTACGTTGCGTGCCAGTGCAAGTTCATGCGTACCCTTATACCACGCCCGCCACAAAAAAGGCTTCTCTGTGTCAACTTGGCAGACAAAAGGTTACCTGGCCAGGAAATCTACTAGCTGGCCAACGCAGCATCACATGCACATGCATACGTGCCAAACAAACAACGACGGCGCAATGGCCCAGGTCATCTCACAGGAAGGCTTCTCAAACTATCGTTTGTTACATTGTTGTTTGAAGCTGGCATTGCTGGTGCAGGCATTTCATGGCTCAGGTTCACTGTGTGTTGGGCGGGAGGCCTCTAAAGTGGGCGCGAGGTTCCCTAGATTGAAATCTATTCCCTACAATTAGCTCGATCTCACTGAGTTTGTGACCTGTTGGAAGTTTGGGATGCCCTGCTCAGATGCATGGCTTTGCGGCGGACCTTTACGCCTTCGGGATTCTGCTCGTCATGATGCTGACCGGCGGCGAGGTAGGGACCACGACTGGCGGACGCCCCTCTAATGCGGGTGCTGCCTTTGTGGCTCGCACTTGGGCCCGCGAACCTTGTGAGACGTGTCAGAACAGTGAACCAGATCGTATCATCTTTGGGGAAAGTTTAGCGCCCATCTCAAAGCGCAGAACGATGTAGGTGGGGCTGTTGTATGTGTCTCGCTCAGCAATCAATCGTGCTTGCCATTTGGGCAAGTTTGGTTGGTGACGCGGCGGCGTTTGACGTTGGACTAGTTTGAACATCCAAGGACACCCAACCATAAATGGCTAAGCTTAACTGGTGCGTAAGGCATCGTCGCATTGCCATATTGTAGCAGTATATGCTCAACATGTTCAGATTCCGCACGCCCACACTTTGTGTCTGCTGCAAGGGCGAGACAGGCGCCCTAACTGCAAGACGCGAGCGAAGTCTTAATCGGTTCGTGGACCCAATTTGCTGCACTGTGACGTTCCTGCCTGGAGGGCGCTTGCAGTGTGTTGGCGCCATTGGTCAAGTCAGTTTTGCGAGAGTGCTCGCAGAAGGTTGGCAAGGGTTTGCGCGCGCTAAATGCGCGGAAGGAAGCCGGGGCAGTGCCCATGAAGTTCAGCTTGGAGACCGAAATGGCCAGGTCTACCACGACTCTCGGGAGGCACCCTTCGAAAGGAGGCCGGCGCCTGTGAGATGGGGGGCGTCACAATTTCCTGCAGCGCCAGGCTAAGTTTTGTCAGTTGGCGGTCGGATATGCGGCTGGCAAAAAAATGAGTGAAGCTTGTGCAGATTACGCGCTCCAGGCAAACTTACGCTGGCCGCAAATCACAACCCGCTTGAACCAGGAGGCTCCGAGTCCCAAGTTACCTTGGCTTTTTGAGCTAAGATGTCCTCGGCCACTTGCGCTCGTTGGCCCCCGTAAAGCCGTGAAAACTCCGCCGAACGGCCGTGATAACTCGCGCGGGAAACTGAAAGGCCGTTACTACTCCATGAAAAAGCCGTGAAAAGTCGTGAAATTTCACGCTCTGAGTTATTTTGTCCTCGCGACACCAAACACCTTCTTAGCCCATGCGGCCTAAGTACTCGTGAATCGGAGCCTCCTGGAAACGTTGCTTTTCCTTTTGCCTTTGCCCCGAAATCAGAAACAGTATCTCTTTCTGAAGCGTGTCCAGCCCAAAGGCACCGAGACAAAATGAAACAGCCACGCGGCCAAAAAAAAACAGCGGGCGGCACAGTTTGCCAGCGTCAAGTTGCAGGATGTGCGTACGGTAGGTAGGCATGGCTGGTTTGCTTGTTTGCTTGTTGTTTGTGATGTTTGTTGTTTTGTTTTGTGCTCCCGGAAGTGCGTTCCTGCCTGTCTGCCTGCCTGTTTGTTTGTCTGTTTGTCAGTCGGTCTGTGTGTGCGTTTGTTTGTTTGTGATTTTGCGTGTTTGCTTGTTGCAAACCATACATATGCATGTTGCGCAGGCTCGCGTTTAGTCTCTCGGCTCAAAAAGGACCACCCTGCGCTATAGTGGAAGCGGAGCTATAGCGACCAAGGACAAGATCACCGACAGCCGGGAGGCCAAGAAGGTCCGGACCGGCAACGGCAAGGTCAGCCAGAATCTGTTGAACCTGTGGCAGGAGGTGCGGAGGACCGAGGAGCTGAATCGGACAGCAGGCCGGCGAAAGCGCCCGTGTTGGCTGCCGAATGTCACTGGACGCTGTTGGATGGACCTGCTTCTGTCATCACTGCGTTTGCACGCCTGGCACGTCTGTGTTACCTTGCTCCTCCGCTATCCGGTTTTTCGCTGGCTCCACAAAAGCACCGGCATATCGACCACGCACTTACTCTACATGTCCACACTTCCACATATCCACACTTCCGCGCTTCCACACTTCCACATTTCAACACTTCAACACTTCAATACTTCCACACTTGCACATTTCCACACTTCGATACTTTCACATTTACACACTTCCACACCTCCACACGTCCACACTTCACACTTCTATACTTACACACCTCCACACTTCCACACTTCCACACTTCAACACTTCCATACTTCCACATTTCAACACTTCAACACTTCAATACTTCCACACTTGCACATTTCCACACTTCGATACTTTCACATTTACACACTTCCACACTTCAACACTTCCATACTTCCATATTTCCACATTTCCACACTTCCTGCACACTTTCACATTCGATGCTGAGCAGTTCTAAGTAGTTAGCTAAGTCCTCTAACTCGCCAAGTGGACTTAGCCAGGTTGTAAGTCCGCTCAGCCAGACTTAGCGGACTTACTAACTCAAGTTTGGCAACTTGCAAGTGTCTTAACAAATCGCTTATGTTCCCCAACACATAGCAAGTAGGCCGCCCATTCAAGTTGCCAGACATAAACACTAAATTCCACCACTACGTAAAAGCGTGGAAGTGTAAAGTGTGGAAGAATGAACGTGTAGATGTGTGGAATGAGCGTGTAAGTGTGGAAGTGTGAGTGTGGAAGTATGCAAATGTGGCTGTGCGGAAGTGTTGCAAGTGCGGAAGTGCGGATGTGGATGTATGAAAAATGTGGATGTGTGGAAGTGCGGAATGAGCGTGTAACAATGTAAGTGTGGAAGAGTGGAAGAGTGGAAGTCGATACAAGTGTGAAAGAGTGCGAATGTGGAAGAACAAAACTTTCATACCGCCACGCGTGCACACTTTCGCACTTCCACACTGCGCTGAAAGACTTACACCTTCGGGTTTACTTCCACAAACTCACACTTCCACACATCCATACTTCCACACTTTTGTGGAAGTGCGAAAGTGTGGAAGTGTCGCAGTGGGGCGGCGTGGAGGTGTGTGAAGGTATGGAAATGTGGAAGAGGAAGGTCAGACTTCTTGAAACTGGACGCGCGCTTTTGTCCGCGGGTCTCGCTGTTTGTATTGCGTTTAGAGCGGGGGGCCATCGAGGGAAAGGCTTGGGCATGACTTCTTCAACGTTGCGTTCCCAGTGCCTAAAGCGCTCGGGTTCCAGATCCGGGGCCCGAATCCGCAACCCGAATCCGGGACCGGGTCGGTTCAGATCCCAGATTCGAAGTCCAGATTCGGGTTCCGGATTCGGTTGCCGGGTCCCGGATTTGGGTCCCGGATTTGGGTGTCGATTTGGAATCCAGATTCGAAGATTTCGAAGTTCGCCCCAGATGAACCTTAGTCACTCAAGCCCGCATTCGAGTCCCGGATTCATGTGTTCCCGGATTTGGTTCCCGGATTCATGTGTTTCCGGATGTGATGTGAGTCCCAGATTTGAGTCCCAGCCACACTTCCACCTGGGCCCTTCCACCTTCCCCAGACATGGCATGTGGACATATCCCGGCTTTGCCGATGGCCGCACGGTCATGAACAGGTCTGTTCCGGCAGGCCGCACTCCCACTTGGGCCCGTGGAAATATCCCGCCTTTGTCGATGGCCACACGGTCATCCACAGGTCTGTTTCGGCGACAGGCCGCACTCCCACTTGCGCCCTTCCACTTCCGCCCTTCCACTTCCGCGTGTCACGCCTTTGTCGAAGTGTGAAAGCGTGCCCACGGTTTTTTCTAGGTACGGCCGTTTTGCTGCGTGGCGTGTGAGTTTTGGTCTCTCAGTCGGTCGGTCGTCAATCGGCCCAACCCTAAACCAGCCAAAGCCGACCCTGAACCAAACCCAAACCCTAAACAAACCCCAAGCCCCAACCCGAAACCGAACCTGAAACAACCCTAAACCAACCCTGAACCAGCCCTAAACCAGCCCTAACCTAACCCTAAACCAAGCCTGAACCAGCCCCGGACCAACCCTAATCCAACTTTAAGTTAGACCCACTTTAAACCAAACTAACTTTAAACTAGCCCTAAACTAACCTTGGGTCGCGCTAAAGTTAGCTTTGAACCAGCCCTGAACCAACCCTCAAAAACCAACCCAAAACCAGCCCTCAACCAACCCTAAGCCACCCTAGACCAACCCTGAACCAGCGCGAAGCCAACCCTAAACCAGCCGACCCAAACCAACCTAAACCAAGAGCCGTGTGGAAGTATGGAAGTAAATACAAGTGTGGAAGTGTGAAAGCGACGAGGGTGGAAGTAAAGCCACAGAAAGCGTGGAGCCGTGTGGAGGTGTGAAGACGAAGGGGCGTGCCGCGGAAGCGTGGAGCCAGGGGATTGGAGCTGGGAAGCGTGGTAGTGTGGAAATCTAAAATTGTGGAATCTTGGAAGTGTGGAAAGTGCAAAAGCCGGGACAAGGCGCCGCTTGGGCATAGCGCCCCAGACAGATGTGACATGTAGCTGCGAAAGCTTGACGGGTTCCAGCAAGCGGGCCGCGGCGGCCAACGCCCCGAAGCTCCCGCCAGTGGACGGGCCCAATGGCTGGGCCACAAGTAGACGCGACAAGACCAAGACAGCCCAGCAACCTGCCCAGCACGATCCCCGTCTGTCTGCGCAACTGTCACACGCAACATGCAGCCCCCAACGCTGCCATGATGTTGCGTTACTCGCAAAGACACTTTGTGCCACTTTGTGCCACGCATATGTCCAGCCCTCGGACAGACTCCAATAAATGGATTGCGCATGTGCTGCTAAGAGCCCAGGGTTGGTGACACCGCGAGAAAAACGTTCGAGCGTTGGGTGAATTTAGTCTTTTTTGTGTGCCTCTTTTGTCTCCAGTGGTTTCGGCCCACAGCTCAGACTTGGAATCTCATGTGAAGCCCAGTTCAATACTCCTTCGCCCACTGCTCCGGTGCGGATGTTTGCGTCGACGCAGGTTTCCCAACCAGACGTTAGGTGTCGTATTCCTACACATATTCGCCTTGACGCGTTCAAAAAACATGTTGGGTCTAAGACAAGGCGTCTGTCAGAGTTAGAGGAAGAGGTTCTGTCATATCGCCGGCGCCGTCATGGTTGAAGACAAGGGCAACGCTGGGGTTCCAGCTGAGCCCGAAGACGGCCGAGGCTACAAAAATGCAACCCGGTACTACGCGAGCACAAATGAATCTCCAGAGTACCACGCGCAAGAAACACGCACCAGTCCACGCCTCCTTTGTTCCAGCAAAATAAAGGTCTCGCACAGTCGAGGGTTGCCCTAATGTTAGCCTGAGCCGAAGTGGGCCCGAGTCTTTCGTCGGTGCTTCAGTGGATTGCTCGAGCGCTGAAACGGCGCAGAATGGTATTGTCAGTTGTTGACTGAGTTTCCCTGGTTTCCCTCCAGCATTTTCATGCGTTTGAGACCCTATCGGCGTCCGCTCGTGAATTGTCACGCTCTGAGTTATCTTTCCTCGCGACACCAAAAACCTTCTCAGCTCATACGGCCGAAGTAACTTGCGACTCGGAGTCTCCTGGTAATCTTTGAGGAAGTCATGGGCTTGACCCTCAATCCTCAGCAACACGATCCGGATGCCACCGCCGCTTTCGCACGTGACCGCCGCATCTCATGATGCCATGTTTGTTTTTGACTTAGGCTTCTTCATGCTTTGTTTTTTGCAGATATGCCTTGACCCGTGCCCGGGGGCGTGTGTGTGTGTGAACCCCTGATGGGAGGAAAGGGCCAGCCTTTAGCTGTTTTCCTGTGAAGTTTGGGCCTTCTTTTTAACGCTTGCTCTTCTCGAGACCGTCGAAAGTTTGCCTGAAGTGGCCCACGGACAACCGAACAGCTCATTTGTCATGAGGGTTTGCCTGTTTGTGTGTGGACACGCAAAAATGTGTGTGTGTGTGTGAAGGTGTGTGTGTGTGTGCGCGTGTGTGTGTGTGTGTGTCTGAGTGTGTGAGTGTGTGTGTGTGGGTGCGTGCGTGCGCGCGTGCTTGCTTGCGTGCGTGCGTGCGTGCGTGCGTTTGTGTGTGTGTGTGCGCGTGTGTGTGTGTGTGTGTCTGAGTGTGTGAGTGTGTGAGTGTGTGTGTGGGTGCGTGCGTGCGCGCGTGCTTGCTTGCGTGCGTGCGTGCGTGCGTTTGTGTGTGTGTGTGTCTGAGTGTGTGAGTGTGTGTGTGGGTGCGTGCGTGCGCGCGTGCTTGCTTGCGTGCGTGCGTGCGTGCGTGCGTGCGTTTGTGTGTGTGTCTGTGTGTGTGTGTTTATGTGTGTGTGCGCGTGTGTGTGTGTGTGTGTGTGCATGTGTGTGTGTGTGTACATGTGTGTGTCTGAGTGTGTGAGTGTGTGTGTGGGTGCGTGCTTGCGCGCGTGCTTGCTTGCGTGCGTGCGTGCGTGCGTTTCTGTGTGTGTTTGTGTGTGTGTGTGTGCGCGTGTGTATGTGTGCATGTGTGTGTGTGCATGTGTGTGTGTGTGTTTGTGTGTTTGTGTGTTTGTGTGTTTGTGTGTTTGCGTGTTTGTGTGTTTGTGTTTGTGTGTGTGTTTGTGTGTGTTTGTGTGTGTGTTTGTGTGTGTGCTTGTGTGTGTTTTTGTGTGTGTGTGTGTGTTTGTGTGTGTGCGTGCGTGTGCGTGTTTGTGTTTTTTGTGTGTTTTGTGTGTGTTTTGTGTGTTTTGTGTTTTTGTGTATGTTTGTGTGTCTTTGCGTGTGTGTGTGTACAGTGTGTGTGTGGGTGCCTGCGTGCGTGCGTGCGTGCGTGCGTGCGTGCGTGCGTGCGTGCGTGCGTGGGTGCGTGTGTGTGTGTGTGTGTGTGTGTGTGTGTGTGTGTGTGTGGGTGTGTGTGTGTGTGTTTGTGTGTGTGTTTGTGTGTGTGTTTGTGTGTGTGTGTTTGTGTTTGTGTGCGTGTGTGTGTGTGTGTTTGTGTTTGTGTGTTTGTGTGTTTGTGTGTTTGTGTGTTTGTGTGTTTGTGTGTTTGTGTGTTTGTGTGTGTGTTTTGTTTATGTTTGTGTGTTTGTGTGTGTGTGCGTGTTTGTGTGTGTGTGCGTGTTTGTGTGTGGGTGCTCTGTGGGTTTGCAATTATGCAACAGGGATCCAGCTTGGCCCGCTGGAACTATAGAAGGAATCATTGGATTTTTGAAAAGTTTGGTTGTGCTGAGAGCAGTTGGCGCCCAGGCACTGGGGCTGCGTTTCTCCCATGTGCATGGACTCGCAGGCTTCCCCCCGAGTCGTTGACGGATCTTCGCTTTATGCTCGGGCGCCGGGCGCCGCAGAGTGCATTGGGTTAGATTGCTGCGTGTCTAACACACGTTTTCTTGAATTTTGAGTTCAAAGCTTTGAAGTCTAACGTAGCCTGTCTCCGCCTGCCCCTGTAACGCGCTCCTACAGAGACTGGTAGGACTTGTGCCACTCGACCAACGAAATATTTGGTTCTGTCTTTTGTCCCAGATGGTTCCCCATTGCATAAAAAGCACCTAAAGGGGCTTGCCTTTTCTTTCCACGGCCGTGGCCCAACCGAAGTACACTTCAGAAGCAAAACGGAGCAAAGAACAGGTTTTCATGATGCAGACGAGATTGTCCTTGGCGTGCGACTTGCGTGGCGCTAGCTGCAAAAAAATGGCGGCGCTGTCTGGAACCAAGGCCTGAGCTACGACTTCTATTGGGCCTCTCACCATCTTCTTCAGCCAGCCCGTGTGGCTCCTGGTGTCTAAATGGTGTACGGATAGATGATGTGTGATTAAGCGTACGCCACAAATGATAATTGGGTTACGGCCACGAGTTCCACACTGAAAATCTTGCAAAGGATGTTTGGCACGTGCTCAGTGTCGCTCAACTGCTTTGCGTTTACACGTGAACAAACCCGCAGTTCAAGCTTCTCTCATGTAACAGCAGCATGTATTCTCGGAAAGGCGACTGAAGAAAGCAAACGAAAATTGTCGAGCCAACGCCTGCCTTCCTACACAGCACAAAGCCAAGAAACACACATCCACACAGCCGCACATATTGACGCAACCACGTTCACGCGTATGCCCACACAGCCACAAACACCCGCACACCGACACACCCACACAGCCGCACACTTTCACGGACTGGCGCAAACACAAAGACCCGGGCTGGAGAGTGCGCGAGGAATATTTAGGCCCATGTGTCGCCTTGCTTGGGCAGCAGCAAACGTGGCGCAAAGAAGTCAAACTAGTTAGGTACAGGGTTAGGTAAATTTAAGGAACCCAGCTGACTCAGTCTTTCGTGGCCTCCAAAAACAACTAGTTGAAATGATTGGAGTATTTTCCGTAGCATTTGAATTGTGGGAAAATCCCAGCCAGTTTAGTATAACAATAACTCAGATTGTAAGCTTTTAGGTTACATGACTTAAGCGCTCCAAACAGTTCCACATTTTGCCCTGGCCTCCAGCGTCAACCTAATCAGGTTATGCAAGTGTGTGTTCGTAGTTGATGTTTTCCCGGCCTACAGGCGCAAAGTTACGCAAACTATGGGTCTGCCGGGGGAGTTCAAACCAACTAAACATAAAAGTAAGTTTGAACTAGTTCAACTAGCTAGATTCTTTTCATTGATTTGGTGAATTTAGTTGAACTGTTTTGTTCCGGCCTCCGGAAGTAGAATTCCTGGAGTCAAAACATTAAAGCAGCTAAACTACTTTGATTGGATTAGTTATCTTGGCCTCCAAGCTGTATTATTGCAAGTGTCTAAGTCGCCGGATTGATTAGAAGAATTGGGGTAATTAGAGTTCTTAAGGAAAACATGAATCTGGAATTCACGAAAAGGGCTCGCGTTTTTTAAGAATGCTTTCAACGGTTTAATTCGTTTAGTTTGAACAATGAGTGTGAAATCTCATGTAAAGGTGACTAGGTATTGGGAATACTTAGGCTAGCTAGGAAGGTTAGAACAAGTGGAACAAACAATAATTCCCTCACAGGTGCCCATCCAATAGCTAGAACATGTATTTGTTACAAACATCTTGAACAACGCGCCGTCGCCCTAGCGTCACACATTCCCTGCCACGGCTGGAGGGCCACCTGACTCAAGAAGGTCGAGCGCGTCAGCGCAACCACCCCCACCTCTCCTCAGCCCAAACGCCCCAAAAAGCGGACCGGTTCCAGTCTGTGCGCGCACATGTGCGTGGCCCCAGATGCCCACGAACAACCGCGCAACTGCTCGTGGCCATGCAACATTACACGGCCACAAACACCCACACTTCAACTCCCAAAGGAGAGATCTAGACGTAAAGCTTCGCTCTAGCTACTCGAACAGTCAGGGAGGGGGCCAAAGGATGTTCCGTACATCGCAGCACTTTTCATGCGCAGGTACGGCCGCTCATGAGTGGGCCACTGCCCCCGCTGAAAACCATAGTCACGACGAGAAAACTGGTTTCAGGGTGCATCTGACACTCCGCACACACACACACGCAGGCGCACATGGCCACACAACCAAAGGCACAGCCACAAACAACCGCACAACCGCACATAGCCACGCAACCACAACAGTGCGCGCGCCCACAACCAGCACAGCCGACATGGCCGCTCATTCGCGCACGCTGCCACACACCACCACGCACAGACGCACCAACGGAGTAGCCACACAGAACCAGACACACACGCACACGCGCGCACACACAAACACAAACAAGAAACACTCAAACACAAACACAAACACACAACACGCAAAGACACAAACACACACCAACACACAAGCACACACAAACTCACAAACCCACAAACACACTAGCGCACTCACACACACACTAACGCACTAACACACTAACACACTAACACACTACTACACTAGCGCACTAACACACTAGCGCACCCACACACGCGCACACACACACACTCACACACAAACACACTAACAAACACACTAACACACTAATTAACACACAAACACACAAACACAACACACACACACACAAACACACAAACACGCAAATACGCAAACACGCACACACACACACACCAACGCACAAACGCAAACTCACACACGCACACACACACACGCACACACACGCACACACACACACACACACACACACACACACACACACACACACACACACACACACACACACACACACACACACACACACACACACACACACACACACACGCGCACACGCGCACACACGCGCACGCGCACAGCGCACGCACGCACACACGCACGCGCACGCGCACGCGCACGCCCACGCCCACGCCCACGCCCACGCCCACGCACGCACACACGCACACACGCACACACCCACACACACACACACCCACATCCACACCCACACCCACACCCACACCCACACCCACACCCACACCCACACCCACACGCACACGCACACGCACACGCACACGCACACGCACAAGCACACGCATACGCACACGCACACGCCACTCACACGCACACGCACACGCACACGCACACCCACACCCACACCCACACCCACACACACACAGACACTCTGGCAGCCACGCGATGCCACACACACACACACCACAGCATTTACATATTTCAGAATATCACAGAATCCACATAGAAGGCGCCATGCGCATGACGTATCTTCAAGCCTATCCGATGAGCCGCCCGGGTCACAGCAGCAGGACCCACCGACTCTTTCTGTTTTCTAGTTTGAACGCTTGGCAAATACCGAGGCACCGCGCACCGTGTTGAGCTTGACCTCCACGGGAGCGTGGTGATCACTGCGCGAGGCTGGCCACGGTGGGCTGGATGTCCGTTATGGGTGGCAGTGGATGTCCCTTTTCTTGGGGTAGGACTGTTCGAATTTAACATGTCGATGGACAGGTTTAAACCATTCAGCTGCTGCGTTGTCCTCTTTCTTGCCGCGTGCTTTGTGTTTGAACAAATATCCGGCGCCAGGGAAAGCTCCGAAAACTCGCACTTTGTGCAGCTTTTCCGATTGAAGGCAGTTCCCTAAGAATGTCCTGATCCCTGACGGGATCCGAGGTCTTGGGTGGGAAATAAAACCTCGCTGAAACATTGACGAGAGTTGCCGATGGCCACTGCACTGTGGACCTTGCTCTGGGGCGTGTGAGCGAATCTAGTGGAGGGCAAACAATTTCTAGACAGTTCTACCGGGTGAATCTTCTTTTTCATTCTGAAGTAAGAATCGAAAGTTGTGCAGGTTAGCGTTGGAACTGAATGCTTCAAGGGCGGACTTGGCTCTCGGCGTACGATTTTCATGTATGAGATGAATCCCAAGCACAACCTGCCACAAGACACTCAGCAGTCACATGACATTGCCTCACCTTCCGCTTGGAAGCCTGCACCCTGAACTGGGCCGATATATAGAGCCGAAAGTCCGCAGCCCTTCAGGCCGGCGGCGAGGGGCACGGCCGAAGCGGCCTCCCAACTCCTTGGAGCGAGGCACCTTGGCTCCTGGCATCTTTGCGCTTGAAAAGGCTTTCTCGTTTCTAGCCAAGGCTCCATGACTGGCGGTGCATAACTTACACTAATTACTTTCTGCGGTGCGCTTCTAGAGGTGATCTGAAGGATGTTCAAAGAATCTAACGCGGACAGCTTTCGAAGTTGACAAAAGGATGTGGGCTTGAATCCTTTTGTCCAATTTCTGTTTGGATGATCCATGTGGCATGTGCCAGTGTTTTTTTCCCATGAGACATCACCACGCAGGTTATGCCGAGCCTAGATGCTGCCAAATGCTTCTTAAGCCACTATTGACTGACGGCTGCATGTGGACAAGACATGACTCCTTGTTCATCGCACAAACCCAGGCGCCGGGGGTGGAGACCACGTGGAGTAGCGAACGTAACAAAACGAAAAAGAAAGCAGCGACAATGAGAAGGCTCCCATCAGTTTTAACTTGTGTCCTTTGACCCAGTTTCACAGGCCCACTAGAACGAAATTGCATCATAGCTGTAGCGGCTTTATGTTCCCAGGTGCCACGCGAACCGCCTGTTGAGAGGGACATACCTAGAACCCAGAGCGCGCGTACCTCAGTCGACCGTTTGTCCTTGTGGTTTCTCTGTTTGTCCGCTTTTAGTCAGAGCCGGACAAGGTGAAGCTCTTTGGGGCAAGTAATACTTTGCTTGCGGATAGGCTCTGTAATTTTGCAGCTCTCCTCAGTGGCTCCGTCACGTCAGCAGTTGAAGATGCGTTGGACCCATGCTAGACCATGTCACTTCGAGATCTCACTTAAGCTTGAAACTGAAGAGCATGTTGCAGTTTTCCTGGACTCCTTGCAGTTTTGTACAAATGTGTTGAACCACGCACTAGTCGCCTTCGTGGTTGTCTCTAGACGCGCAAATGCAAACTGATAGACAGAAGCACGGATTTAAAGGCTGCATGCATGAGCGTATTTCTGAAACCCGGATATGAACTCTGTGTTCATGGATATGGGTATGAGCCTTTGAGCGCAGGTGACGAAGGCCCTCGACCGCGCTTCCCCGAGTCGGCCTTCATGCCCTGTGAGGCAAGTTTCTGAGTCTTGTCTCGGACCCACCCGAGTGCCCGAGCTCAGTGATGGAATCTCATCAGGCCGAAGGTCACAGGTTTTTCTTTTCTGGCTGTGCCAATGTCCATTTGTTGTACCTTCGATGTCTTTGAAGCAGTAAACAAACAAGCATACATCATGGTGCCTCCCATTACACACTGGTGTCGGCGATCAAATGAATGCATCGATTTGTGGAGCAGTCTGGAACTACAGTTAGCATTGTGTCGGTGTTTCTTGTTGATTGGCCATTGAGCTGCGTTCAAGCAAGACATCGTGTTGAACTGATCCCATCTTTCTGTGATGCTTTGCCAACTAGGCCTCCAAGGCTTCCAGGCGTTTGCGCTTCGGGCCATTCTGTTCAGGCCAGGGAGCGATTTGCCCCGAGCAGGAAGAGCGCAGACGCTGGAACCTTGCCCTGGAGTTGGTGTGGACTTTGACCGATGAGGCGTGGGACGTCCTGACACCGTTTTGTCATTCTCTTGCGTGCAATGATGTTTGCAATGACAGGAATGACGGAATGACATGTTGATCCTCAGAGGCATCTGAACTGAACTCATACTTCATCATCCTTCATTGTGCGGAAGCTTTTCCCATTCCCATGTCAAGAACACCCTGTAAAGTGACGGACATACACTTAGAAGCGGTTTTTGAAATTTTCTTCTGCTAGCAGGTACTTGTTTTGTTTCTAAGTGATGTCCCCCGCAGGTACTTTTTGTTGCGAAGTGTTGTCTCGGACTGCTACGGCGAAACCCAACACTTAGAACCTGTTTTTTAACAAGCAGAAACGTTTGTCAACACTTAGAAACGTGTTTTCAACACTCGCCCAACCGGCTATTGACTCCAAGATTTGGTCATGTCCACTCACAGAAATACACACATGGGTACTGTTCACCGCACAGATGATTTGAAGCGCGGGCAACCCCAGGAAAGCACGCCAATTACCGGCTGCAGTGGTGCCACTCGTTACTCGTTGTTCGGAGGATGAAGATAATCATGCATTGCTGACACACGTGTGGAAAAACAAAATTGGGCATGCCCCCACACAGACACACACACACACACATGGTACCCACACAAGTCCAATTTGTAGAATCTGGGAGTTTCTAAGTGTTTGCCCCCCAGCTGCTTTCAAGCTCGCGCAACCCGAAGAAAGCGCACGAATTACCTGCTGCTGCAGCGGTGCCACTACTTGACCGTTGTTCTGAGGATGAGGGCGGTTATGCCACGATATTGGTCATGTCTCCACACACAGAAACACACACACTTGTACCACACACAAATTGCTTGAAGCTAGGCGTTTCTACGTTGCCCCCCCGCTGACCCCAAGAACGCGCGCCAATTGCCTACTGCTGCAGCGGTGCCCTTGCTTGACCGTTGTTCTGAGGACGAAGCAGGTCATACCTTGCTGACACACTTGTTGAAGTTCAACACTGGTCATGGTCATGTCTCCAAACAGGCACACACATGGTACCCGCACAGTTCCACTTAAAACATTTGGGCGCTTCTAAGCGTTCACCGCCCGGCGGATTTCAAGCTCGCCCAACAAAGCAGGCCGATTACTTGCTGCTCCCTGCCTTGCTGGAAACACAATTTTGATCGCGTTTCTATTTGTTTGCCCCCCCCTCCCCCAACATGATTTCAAGCTTGAGCAGCCCCACGAACCTGGCGGTGCCACTACTTGGCCGTTGCCCGGAGGATGAAGGAGATCGGTAGCACACGTGTGGAAATACAATATTGGTCATGTCTCCACACAGACACACACGCAAACACATAAAGCAAAAAAACAAAGTTCAATTGGTAGTGCCTGGGCGTTTCTAAGTGTTTGCCCCCCAGCTGAATTCCAAGCGCGGGAAACTGCAAGAAAGCACGGCAGTTACCTGTTGCTGCAGCGGCGCCACTCTTGGCCGTTGTTCTGAGGATGAAGGGGTCACGCCTTGCTGACACACATTGAAATAAGATATTGTTCGTGACGCACATGGTTCCCACGCAAGTCCAATTGGTAGTACTTGGCCGTTGTCCTGAAATCATGCCTTGCTGACACACGTGTGGAAATACAATATTGGTCATGTCTCCACACAGGCACACACACAGGCATCACAAGTCGAATTTGTTGAATCTGGGCGTTTCTGGGCTCGGGCACACGCCACTTGCCTGCTGCCAAGTAGTGGCACCGCTGCAGCAGCAGGCAATCGGCGTGCTTTCTTGGGGTTGCCCAAGCTTGAAATCAGCGGGGGCAAACACGTAGAAACGCCCAGATTCTACAAGGTCAGTGGACTTGTGTGGGTACCATGTGTGTGTGTGTGTCTGCGTGTGGAGACATGACTAATACTGTATTTCCACCCATGTGTCAGCAAGGCGTGACCTTCTTCATCCTCAGAACAACGGTCAAGTAGTGGCGCCGCTGCGGCAGGTAACTGGCCTGCTTTCTTGCAGTTGCCCGCGCATGGAATCAGCTAGGGGGCAAACACTCAGAAACATATTCTACCAATTGGATTTGAGCGGGTGCCAAATGTGTGTGTGTGTGTGTGTGTGTGTGTGTGTGTCTGTGTGTGGAGACATGACTAATGTTGTATCTCCACGCGTGCGGCAGCAAGGCAAGATCTCCTTCACCCTCAGGGCGACAGTCAAGCAGTGGCACATGGAACTGCTGTTCTACACATACACACGATAAGCGTTTCTGAGTTCAGGAAATGAAATGCCCGCCCCCCCCCCCCGCCCCCCGCCCCAAAAAGGTAAGGCGGTTTAAGGATAGCCCTTGTGGCAAGGACAATTGAGCTTGATTGTGCTTGATTAGGCTTAATTAGGCCTAGCTGGCCCAGCGCGGCTTAGTAAATTAGGCTTAGTTTGCTAAAACCGCATTTTGCAAACTCAGATTAATTAAGCCTAGTTAAGCCTAGCTGAACTCGCCCAACACCAGGTGTCTGCGTTTCTCCCGGCTCACCTTTGTGAAACCAGTCCAGACGCTGAAGTGTGACTCTGTGACATACTGGGGATGGTCAGCGTAAGTGTGTGAGAATGGAAACTCCCCCTCCTCCAGACGGTTTAAGTCGTGTTTGGCGTAAAACGCCCTCAACATTTTAGGGGGATGCCACGAAATGTGAACATAGCATCATTTTGTGGTACCCCCCGCCCCCCCATTGTTTAAGATAATTCCCCCCCCTCCTGCCCTTCCCCCCCCCCCCCCCCCGCCCGCGAAAATCGCCAGGCTTCACAACACATTACTCCCGCCAAACAGGGCAAATCTGTGGGCCAAGTCAGTCACAAAAAGATCCCCTCAAGGCGAACCGTCGTCTCCACATATCCATGAAAAAGCTCAAGCTCCCGTGACCTTCTTAGGGGGGAGCCTTGGGGGGGAGTAGCGTTTCATCTCCTGATAAGTGCTCGCCCCCGTCAATTATGTGCTGCGGTAGTGCACCGGCTTGCCCGTCATCACAGACACACACACACACACCCGCATGGCCCTCACAAGTTCAATAGATGGAACCTGGGCGTTTCTAAGTAGCCGATTTCAAGCTCGGGCAATGCCAATAAAGCGCCAATTGCCTGCTGCTGCAGCGCACCCGCAGTAGCAGGTAATTGGCTGAGGAGCAAAGTACTTGCGAGCGCCTAGATTCTACAAATTATGTGTGGGCACCATGTGTGTGTGTGTGTGTCTGTGTGGGGACATGACCCTTGTATTTCCAGCAAGGCCCGAGCTTGGAATTAGCTTGAGGGCATAGAAACGCCCAGATTCTACAAATTAAACTTGTGTGGTGCGTGTGTGTCTGTGTGTGTGGAGACATGACCAGTAATATTGCATTTTCAGACCTGTGTCAGAAAGTCATGATCCCCTTCATCTTCAGGGCAACGGTCAAGCCTTTGCTTGACCATTGCCCTGAGGATGAAGGACATCATGCTTTGCTGACACACGTGTGGAAAAACAACATTGGTCATGTCTCCACTCGGACACACACATGGTACCCTCACAAGTCCAAGCGTTAGATCGTTGCTAAGTTTTGGCCCCCCAAAATTTTATTGCGAACAAAGTGCAAGCACTTGCTGGGGCAGCGGTGCTACTACTTGACTGTTGCCCTGAGGATGAAGACGGTCGGGCCTTGCTGACACACGCGTGGAAGTACGTCACCACACAGACACACCCGCGTGGTACCGTGTTAGATCTGCTCCCCAGCTAATTTCGCAAAAGCACGCCAATTACCTGCTGCTGCGGCGCCACGTTGCCCTGAGGATGAAGGAGATCATGCCTTGCTGACAAGGGAAATGCAATATTGGTCATGCCAAGTACCCGCACAACTGCAATTGGTAGAATTTGGGCGTTTCTAAGTGTTTGCCACGCAGCTGATCCGACCCCAACAAAGTGGTGCCGAGTTGGTAGACGACCGTATGGTTTTTTCATGGAAATGGTAGCGTTCATGTCGACCGGATCCCCGCCTGCCCGATCCCCGCTGCAGAAAAGCACGATCTTTCCGTCCTCGGTCCTTGTTACTTCTGACTGTACACGCGGGCATACATCTTCAACCCCTGCGTTTTGGGATTCGGTCTGGCGCATTGTGCCTGACGAGCCATGAAAACACCAGGACCTTGACAAGCTGTTGATGCTCCGATCCGGCGCGCGGGCATGCAGGCCTTGTGGGAGGTACTTATCTAACGACCGCCACCGTGAGTCTATGGACATTGTCCCGCCATCGAGTCTCCCACGCTTGGTGCACCACTGTGTTGTCAACGAAGGAAATGGCCAGTGGCCCGTTCGTTGGCAAACCCCAGGACCCGCAAGCACAAGGCGAACACCAAGCTCTTCCTAGGGTTCTTCTTATTCTCCTTGGCAGAGGCACTCGTCTTTTTCGCTAGCGCTTTCTGGATCTCCTCTTGGAAGTGCACGTTCCGCTTGGAGACGAAGGTCTTCAGCACTCAGGAACGGCTTGATGATGTCGTGCCACTGCGCGCATGGCCAGCTATACGTATGAGTAGAATGTACGCTACCGCCTGGGCTATGAGGGCTTGCCGCATGGTCACGGCTGCGGTCAACGCAAGGTTGCTCACATAATGCCTTGCTCATGATGCAGCAAAAAACCACGATTGCATAAAAAAATAGGGAAAACCAGCAAAAACCATGGTGTTTCAAAAACGGCCAGATATCAGCTCGGCGCGAACAAAGTGCGCCAACACAGCAGCGCCGCTACTTGAGCGTTGCCCTGAGGATGGAGGAGATCATGCTTCGCTGACAATGGAAATGCAATATTGGTCATGTTTCCACAGAAGACACACACACACGAACATACCATACCCACCATGTTCACGGGTCGAATGACCAGGTTCGGGTTTCTACCGCCCAGCCAACTGCAAGATCGGGCATATGGTTTGAGGACACAACACATTCTGTGTGGATTTTTCACGTGTTTAGATCACGGGTTGCCGACACACGGGTGAAAATACAAAGCTGGCTATGCT